TGCTCCTGCCCAGCCCAGGCGCGACGACCCACTACCTGCTTCAACACCTTCAGCTGATACTGCAGAAGTGGGGGAAGGCAGCACAACACCTGCTCCAAAGCCGCAACCTGTGGTTAAGGAGCATACACCCCAGCTGCCCTTCCCCACTCGACTTCATAAAGACAAGCTGGAGACAGAGTTTGCCAAGTTCATGGCAATGTTGAAGCAGGTCAACATCAGCATGCCGTTCGTGGAGGCACTGTCGAAGATGCCCAAGTATGCCAAGTTCATGACAGACCTCCTCACCAACAAGAAGAAACTTGGGGATCTTTCGACAGTGATGCTCAGCGAGGAGTGTTCTGCTATCCTGCAGAACAAGCTGCCCGAGAAGCGCAAAGACCCAGGGAGTTTCACTATCCCTCTTGTTATTGGCAGCATGCATGTAGGAAAGTCCTTGGCGGACCTAGGCGCTAGCATTAACGTCATGCCCTATAAATTGTTTAATAAGCTAGACCTAGGTGAACCTAGAGCTACTAGGATGAGCATTCAGTTAGCTGATCGTTCTATCGTGCATCCTAGGGGTATCATTGAGGACTTGCTTGTTAATGTAGGTGCATTCACATACCCTGTTGATTTTGTTATTTTGGATATAAATGAGGATGTGGATGTGCCTTTGATTTTGGGTAGACCATTTCTCGCCACCGCCAAGGCGCTTATTGATGTGCATAGTGGTAATTGATCTTGCGTGCTGGTGATGAACAGGCTACTTTTTCTGTGTCTGACAATGGGAAACATTCTCATTTGCATGATGACATAGACTACTGTGATGTGCTTACCGATTTTGAGACCGCACTCGCCATCACGAGTGCGGGTACTGATGATGCTCTTGAGCGTTGTATTTTGCTAGGTGAGCAGGCATCACAGGAGCCACAGCTGGCGGAGCAGTTGGCCGCACTGGAGAGTGGCCCCTTCTTGGAGGGCGACAGGCTGTTTAAACCGATCTCATCCTCCACCCGCATCACCACCTCCTTGGAGGAGCCACCAGAGCTGGAGCTTAAGCCCCTCCCTCCTCATTTGGAGTATGCATTTCTCCGGGAGGGGAATAAGCTGCCAGTCATCATCAGCTCGACCCTCACACCCGAGCAGAAGACCAGACTGGTGGCCTTGCTGAAGCAGTACGAGCGAGCTTTAGCATGGAAGATCACAGATATCCGGGGAATCAGCCCCTCCTTTTGCTCGCACCGGATACTGCTGGAGGATGAGATGCGGCCAGTGAGGCAGCCGCAGAGGAGATTGACGCCGAACCTGGAGGCTGTGGTTCGGGCAGAGATCGTGAAGCTGATGGACGCGGGGATCATCTTCGCCATTTCTGACAGCGAGTGGGTCAGTCCCACCCAGGTGGTGCCCAAAAAGGGTGGGATGACCGTGGTGCCTAACGAGAAGAACGATCTCATCCCGATGCGCATGGTGACTGGGTACCGTGTTTGCATCGACTATCGGCGTCTCAACGACGCTGCTCGGAAGGACCATTTCCCGCTGCCATTCATTGACCAGATGCTGGAGAGATTGGCGGGGCACGAGTTCTACTGCTTCCTGGATGGGATGTCCGGGTACTTCCAGATCCCTATAGCACCGGAGGACCAGGCGAAGACCACTTTCACTTGCCCCTTCGGCACATTTGCTTACCGGAGGATTCCATTCGGGCTATGCAATGCCCCAGCCACCTTTCAGCGATGCATGCTCGCCATCTTTGACCGTCTGGTCGGCGAGATCATGGAGGTGTTTATGGACGATTTCTCGGTTTATGGAGACTCCTTCTCTCACTGTCTCCATAACCTGGAACTTGTTCTTAAACGGTGTGAAGAAACGAACCTGGCACTGAGTTGGGAGAAGTGTCATTTCATGGTTCGAGAAGGCATAGTTCTTGGGCATAAGATCTCCAAGATGGGGATTGAGGTGGACAGAGCGAAGATTGAGACTATCAGCAAGCTGCCTCCTCCTACATCTGTTAAGGGGATCCGGAGTTTTCTTGGCCATGCAGGTTTCTACAGGCGGTTCATCAAGGATTTTTCGAAGATCGCCCTGCCCCTAACTAAGCTTCTGGAGAAGGATGCCCCCTTCCAGTTCACTGATGCTTGCACAGCGGCGTTCACCACCTTGAAGGAGAAGCTCACCCAGGCTCCTATCATGGTTGTTCCTGACTGGTCCCTACCATTTGAGCTGATGTGCGACGCCAGTGACTTTGCTGTTGGAGCTGTTTTGGGGCAGAGGCGAGATCAACACTTCTGACCTATCTACTACGCCTCGAAGACTCTGAATGATGCCCAGGAGAACTAAACCACCAGAGAGAAGGAGCTGCTTGCAGTGGTGTTTGCCTTCGATAAGTTTCGCCCCTATCTGGTCTTGTCCCATGTGACCGTGTACACAGATCACTCCGCGATTAGATACCTGATCAGCAAGGCTGATGCCAAGCCTCGGCTCATACGATGGATCTTACTGCTGCAGGAGTTTGATATTGAGATCCGGGACAAGAAGGGAGCAGAAAATGTTGCAGCTGATCACCTCTCCCGGTTGGATGCACCTCCTGCGGACAACCTCGTGGAGGAGATTGACGACTCCTTCCCAGATGAGAGGTTGATGATGATGTGCTTGGTGGAGAGTGTCACCCCCTGATATTCTGATTTTGCAAACTATTTGGTGGGCCAGCAGCTGCCAAAGGGGATGGCCACTCACGCCAAGAGGAAGTTTTTCTCCGATCTGAAGTACTACTTCTGGGATGACCCTCATCTTTTTCGGATCGGAGCCGACGGGATCATCCGTCGTTGTGTTATGGAGAGTGAGATGGAGGGCATTCTATCTCACTGTCATGAGGGACCTACTGGCGGTCATCACGGAGGAAACCGCACGGCAAGGAAGGTGCTCCAGTCGGGCTTTTACTGGCCCACGCTCTTCAAGGATGCAGACGCCTTCGCACGCAGGTGCGACCGATGCCAGAGGTCAGGTAACATCTCTGCCCGTGATGAGATGCCCTAGAATGTGTTTATAACTTGTGAGATTTTTGATGTCTGGGGTATCGACTGCATGGGCCCCTTCCCTCCATCTTTTGGTAACACCTGTCGCAACCGCCCCTCCGAAACGGAGGATCCATCGCGAACTGATCGGAGTCGCCATCGACCTTATTTTGGGATGGGTCGAACACCCTTTCCGGTTGTATTATTTAGGTTAAAACCAGAAATCTGGTCTACGAAAGTGTTAGATTTTCTAGGTTCGGGAGTACAGTTACGTGTGGGGAAGTGTATTCACACCCCACAACGCCCCAAATCGGTACTACTTAAATCGATAAGTTTTTAAAGGTTGGGTGTTTCATTATTTGTAGCTATTGCGTATTATTGCATTCGATTAATTTAAGTATTTTGTTATTACAATTTGAGCATACATCTATTGATGTAAAATCTCAAAAGTGAAGAAAGAGGTTTTTGGGATGGTTGGACTCGAACCTATTGGTTGCCTACGTACCCGATTTAATCGGGATCAAAATCCACGTAGTTCGATAAAGTTGGTTTGTTTTGTAGAAAGTAACTAACACGCTCTATTGACTCGTGTTTAAGTTCTGTTATTGACCTTTCGATGAAGGCATATAGTTTGATGTTTTTTTATATTGTAATTGAGTAGCTTATGATTTTTTGAAATAATTTGGCTTAATAAGTGATCACAGTCTATTGACCGTGATTTCGTATTAAGAGATCTTTTAGGGAAAAAAAGGGTTTATGATATTTTATAGGATAGGGCAAATTTTCTACTAAATTTTAATCCGAATGGTTAATACTTAATACTTTAAAACGAAAATACTATCACGGTTTATTGACCATGACATTTCGTATTGAGAATTTTTAAGGCAATTATTTCAAATGAAGTTAATGATCTTTTTATAGAAATCAGTGCTAGAGGTTTATTGATCCTCGAGATATACTAAGGAAATAATCGTGCTTAAATTACGTATTATGGTTATTTAAGTTAAAATGAACTGAGATTAATATGTGAACAATTGGCAGGTAACTAGCATAGTGGTTTATTGTGTTGATGAGAATTTATTTATTATGATCTTTGGGTTGGCGGTTCGAATCTTGGAACCAACAAATTTTTGTTTTGAGCCGAGTAAAAAAACGTCGTTTTAAGGTGGGGAAGATGGCAATGGAGTAATTTCATTAAATCGACAGGGGCAACTACGTCTTTTAGCCAAGAGTACCATATAAGTCTCTCCTTAGGCTGAAATGAAAACCCTAACTATTCATCCTGAACTAAAACGCCGCTCAAACACTCAATTAGGGATGGCAACAAAACCCGAACCCACGGGTACCCACTCGATCCAACCCTGTCAACGCGGGTAAAATCCGTGTTGACGGGTTTTGGGCCGGGTTTGGGTTTAAACCCGTTCACTATTCAGCGGGTTGGGTTGGGTTTGGGTTTAGGTAAACCCGGCCCATGGGTACCCGCCCACTTATATAATTAATTTTTTCGGTATATTTAATATTCTAAACAACTATTCTTATTTATGTTTGTGGAGACATGTCTAATTTTTTCTTTTTAATTGTGTAGAATGAAGTTGATGTTATGGAGTGGAGACTAAAGAAACTTAATTGAAAGAAAGAAGCTTTCAATTAAACATGTTATTTATGGATAATTTGTGATTTGCTTCAATTTTCATGAGTTTTCTAGTTTGGTGTTGAACAATTTGTATAGTTAATTTGTGATTTGCTTGAATTTTCTAGAATGGTGTTTTATATATGGATAATTTATATTGAGAGATTGATATTTGACTTTAATTTTAATAAGAACTTGTAATTGTAAATTTTTTACGACAAAACCCGTGGGTACCCATGAACCCGCGGATACCCAACGGGTTGGGTTGGGTTTGAGTTTTTCAAACCCGGTGGGTTTTACCCCGGGTTTTTTTCAAAGATAAACCCATGGGTTTGGGTTTGGGTTTGGCAAAACCCGACCCAACCCGACCCATTGCCATCCCTACACTCAATACCTCTCCTCCTTCTCGTCTCTTCCTCTCTTCTCTCTCTCGTTCTTCCTTTTCTGTCCAAACAGAGTTCGGTGACAGCCAAAGCCGGTCGCCGCTGATGCCTCACACCCTTTCCTTCCCCTTTCTGGTAATGACAATGGCAAAGGAAGAAGAGGGAAAACTGCGGCGGCGACGAGAAACGGCGGCTGCAACGAGAAACAGAGGCGATTGTCGCGACGGCGAAGGTAAGATGGCTTTCTTACCTCTGCATGTCGGGTTTGGGGATCGATTTGGCTGTTTTGGTGTCTGATTGTTTTTTGGGTTATGTTCGATCCAAATGCACGATTTAGTTGTTTTAGGGTTCTGATCATGTTTTATTTTCCCCCTTTTTTTATAAAGTTTTGGAATCGGTTGGGGGAAAATGATATACGGCAGCGGACTGTATCAGCGGTGGCGTAGGGGGTGAAACGCGCGGCGAGGGAGAAACACCAGCGAGGGTAAGCTCTGCCTTTCCGTTTTTTATGTGTTTTGAGTAGTTTCAAGGCTATTTTAAGGTTATGATGTTTCTGGTTTTTGTCAAGACGAGAAGGCTTTTCTAATCTTGATTTCACACATATTAGGGTTCTAAATCAAGTTATATTAGATTTTTGGCAATCTGGATGATAAACTGTGATTTCACTCGTATTATGCATGATTTTGATGTGAAACATCTATGCTAAGTGAGGCTTTACCTCCTGAAAATACGTGAGTTTTGGTTTTGGTATTGGTGATTTGCTTTGGTTTATGATTTTGAGTATGATGTTTTACTTCTGTAAAAGTGTGTATTTATAACTGGGTTTTGAGATTTTGAGTTTTGGCTGTGACTTGTATGAGCTTGGGGGTAATGATTGGTTCTGGGAAATCTAGTTTTAATTGTTGGCAATTCTAACTTTGGATATTTGTGTATTGTTGCTTTGGCGGGTGAATTCTTGAAATGTGTAGTGTGATTGTTGAGGGTTCTTGTTCTGAGAATTGGTAAGATGAATTGTCATATGTTGTCTTTCAAAATAGTCTTGAATGCTTTTTTATGATATTATACTGGTTTGGGGCTTGATAGTCGTGGTTGTGGGGACTGTTAAGGCTGGAATTGATATGATCCCAATTGGATCAATCCACAATTCAGAATTGCTTGTCAAAGAAGCTATCTCACCTCACTTGAAGAATTCTGATTTTTGGCTAAGTGTTGAAACAGTTTCAGGTAGCCTACTTTGGAAGCTTGTATCTCACAAATGGCTCAATGAAAATTGGTGTTCAAGGGTTTGTTTTGCAGATAAAGTTGCCATGTTTCCAATGGTATGCTTTGTGGATCAAGATGATGTGATTAAGGTTGTTTTCCAAGGCCTCAAAGTTGCTACCTCAAAACTGGAAAACTGCCAGAAAATGGTTAAGTCTGGAAACTGTTTTGTGAAGCCTACTTTGGAGCTTGATTCGAGGAGTATGGATCTGATTCAAGTCCAAAGGCTTCCACAACATGAAAGTAGGTATGTTTGTGAACAAAGGGAAGGAATTGGATGAAGAATTGGAGTTCGGGAAGGCCTCGAACGAAAGGCGCGAATTTAGTACGAAAGCTGCCTTTTGACTGTTTTGCGGGCAGATTACTTGTGCGCCAAGAAAGGAAGTTTATGGCCGAATTTTGAGTCCATTTTAGAGTTTGTTTTTACCTTAATTGTTTCCTTGTTCATCTAGATTTGTATTAGGTTTTATTGGCTATAAATAGCCCTCCATTTAGGTTGTAAAAACATAAGACTTTGATTAATCGAATTGAGAACGTTTTGGTTTTGTGCAAGTTGCGACTTGTGTTGAGTTTGGTGGATTCCAAGCTCGTGAGCTCTTGTATCGATTGAATAGTCACTTCGATCGTGGTCGGGCATCTACCTTTTATACCAATCGAGCGTTCCCCAAGTGTGGAATTGTCCGTTGGTTCCGTTTTATCCCAAGTTCGTATTAAGAGCACTTAGTTCTTGATTCGAGCTCAATCGATTCTTCGATTGAGTCGTTGCTGCGTGACTTTGATAAACATACACCCCCAGGGGCGTATTAAGTGGTATCAGAGCCCCGTTCTACACAAGGGAGAAGAAGAAGGCGAAAACGTGCTGATTCGTACAAGCAAATTTCGTCAAAAACAGGGCAGCCCCTGTTTAAGATTTGCAGCTGCTGTTTTGTGTTGAATCGCAATGGAAAACTCCCTTAGAGCAATGGAGTTGATGGTGGGCAGTGAGGAGGACCAGCAGGCACGAATTTGTAGCAAAGGCATGCCCCCAGCAATCGTAATAAAGCACCGAGAATCTGACGAGCAAAGAGATTGTTTATTTCACAGCCGATGCAATGTCAAAGACAAAGTAGCTTCCTTGGTGATCGATGGAGGAAGTTGTGCAAATTTGATAAGTGTGTATGCAGTACAGAAGCTGGAATTGGAGGCACAGAAGCATCCCAAACCTTATCACCTCAACTGGCTCAACGATCATGGAGTCGTAAAGGTCAACAAACAGGTGACAATCGAATTCAACATTGGTAAGTACCGAGATACGATTCTCTGTGACGTAGTTCCAATGCAAAACGTTCATATTCTGTTGGGTAGACCGTGGCAATTTGATAGAAGGGTGATACATGATGGCTGGGAGAATTCGTATACCTTCAAACACGAAGGAAGGAAGATCAAGTTGAAGCCTATGTCACCCGACGAAGTTTATGCCGATCTCAAGACAATGGAGGAGAACAGGAACGAGGGAAAGAACGTTCAAGCTCAGCTGTGGGTTCAGAGAAGCATTGGATTTAATTTTATGAGCTTCAGGAAGCCTCACAAGGAAGAATTTGCGCCGGAATCCACTGCCCAGAACGACCCCTGTTCTGCCCAGGGAGAACTCTGTTTTGCGATGGCAAAACAGGACGTTGAGAAGCAGGCCGAATTCGAGGAGGTCAAGGAAGAATCGAGCACGCAAACTGGTTCAGAGGTGTTACTCGACGGTGAAGGAATGCCGATCAGTGAAGCAGAAGATTCGGAGATCCCCGAGGATGCTCGAATCGAGCCATTGACGAGTGCAGCGGAACTTTGTTCGCCGACGACGATGGTGCAGGGCAGGAGAGAGGTGCAATTGGTCGGAGCAACTGGAGAGACGTCGACCTCACCCACCGATGCCCACACAATCCAAATATTCCCAAGAAGCTCTTCCATTGAATTGAATGACTCGACTGCAACCCTGATCGCGAATCCAAATCGGGAAAAACTTGCCCTGAAAAGGGTCGAATATGAAGCAAAAACCCACGAATGGGTCGGGGCAACTACAGCTGAATCGATGTCAATTGGAAGTTCAGAATCGAAGGAAGGGACTTTAAGAAGCTTTGGGATTGTTCAATTTGCCACGGAGACCCCTGAATCGAAAACAACCAATCTGGGTTTTTTGAACCAAAACGTGAAGAACGACGGGCTGAAGAATGGTGAATTGAATGTGGAGTTTGAGCGTGATTCGAGCTATTATAACACTTGGGTTCGATTTATGGAGTGTCAAGGATGGTTTAGGAGCAAAAAAATCGGAACGAAAATGCTTGGATTGGGTTTCCCCAATTTTGCAGGTAGGTCGCCGGATTCTGGGTTTCGCTCGCCGGAACCTGGAAAGTTCAAAATTCCCGGTGGCGGGAAACGCGGGCGACACGATTGTGATCGATCCGGGACGAATCGAAGCTGGGGAATGGTTGGAATCAATTCCTGGGCGTGGGAAGAATCGATTGCGAGCAGTGAATTGGGACGAGGAGGCCTCAAGAAGAAATCCCCAATCTCCACATTCTTGCCGGAGTTCTTCCTATCGCCGGAATCTGCAAATTCTTGGCCGGATTCTGGAAAATTGGAGCGACGAGTTTTGGGTTTGTTTGAGCACACTGTTTGCCTGGGAAAGGTCCATTGGAGTCCCACGAATGTCATGGAACTTGAATCGTGGAAAACAACAGCCAATTCGCGAGTTGACGAATTTTTTAAGTTCGACATTAAAAGTTCGAGGTACCTATTTCGTGACTCGATTTGGGAGGAATTTTTTGACGTTTTTGACAAGAAGCAGCTTCAAGCTTTGAGGTCAAAGCTTTTTGAAGAGGGGGAGCCTGATATGATCACAATTGGATCAATCCACAATTCACAATTGCTTGTCAAAGAAGCTATCTCACCTCACTTGAAGAATTCTGATTTTTGGCTAAGTGTTGAAACAGTTTCAGGTAGCCTACTTTGGAAGCTTGTATCTCACAAATGGCTCAATGAAAATTGGTGTTCAAGGGTTTGTTTTGCAGATAAAGTTGCCATGTTTCCAATGGTATGCTTTGTGGATCCAGATAATGTGATTAAGGTTGTTTTCCAAGGCCTCAAAGTTGCTACCTCAAAACTGGAAAACTGCCAGAAAATGGTTAAGTCTGGAAACTGTTTTGTGAAGCCTACTTTGGAGCTTGATTCGAGGAGTATGGATCTGATTCAAGTCCAAAGGCTTCCACAACATGAAAGTAGGTATGTTTGTGAACAAAGGGAAGGAATTGGATGAAGAATTGGAGTTCGGGAAGGCCTCGAACGAAAGGCGCGAATTTAGTACGAAAGCTGCCTTTTGACTGTTTTGCGGGCAGATTACTTGTGCGCCAAGAAAGGAAGTTTATGGCCGAATTTTGAGTCCTTTTTAGAGTTTGTTTTTACCTTAATTGTTTCCTTGTTCATCTAGATTTGTATTAGGTTTTATTGGCTATAAATAGCCCTCCATTTAGGTTGTAAAAACATAAGACTTTGATTAATCGAATTGAGAACGTTTTGGTTTTGTGCAAGTTGCGACTTGTGTTGAGTTTGGTGGATTCCAAGCTCGTGAGCTCTTGTATCGATTGAATAGTCACTTCGATCGTGGTCGAGCATCTACCTTTTATACCAATCGAGCGTTCCCCAAGTGTGTAATTGTCCGTTGGTTCCGTTTTATCCCAAGTTCGTATTAAGAGCACTTCGTTCTTGATTCGAGCTCAATCGATTCTTCGATTGAGTCGTTGCTGCGTGACTTTGATAAACATACACCCCCAGGGGCGTATTAGGAATCATGGTGTGTTCGTATAATGGTTTGGGGTTTAAAAGGGTGTCATTAAAACAAAACAAAAGAAAGGTATTCAGAATACCTCTCTGAGTTTGAGTCTAGTTGGTTTAGATTAACATGTTAATCCTAGTTTATAAAATCTGATTTTGTAGCTTAGAGTGAGGAGTTTAAACTCAAATATGATTGTGAGGGTATATGCTTAACACGAGGAATAGCGAAACAATTGTTACAAGCAAACATGAGCATGTTTGAATATATAGGTATCAATCAATAAGTAAAACATAAACATAGCTATATATATATAAAGTTCTAGTTTTGATTACAGTATACAGAAACTTTAAATATTTACTAATATGTTTGTACTTAAAAAAAAACTTTGATATAATTGCAACTCGCATGATTTTTGGTTACAGTAGAATTC